GAATCCATAACACAAAAACTCTATAATTAGTGATAAATAACCAAGAAAACTTGTCAATTTAATCTCTGCAATTATGGCGCAATGCAATTACAGCAGGTGGTTGGGAATGGTGTTCGCGAATAATGTAGCACACATCTCTAACCCAGGGCCGCATTACGCACAATGCGTGAAACAGTGACCCGAGAGTCGCGTCGGCCTTGTCCCGAGATTTGTTTCTAATGAACCGTACGTGAAACATTTATGTTGTTTGCGGTGGATGTTTGATAATGACGGGCGTTTCACGCACGATTTGTTGGTGATAAGTCCCGATGACAGCGTGGCTGCGCCGGGCGAATCCGGCCCTGGTCGGCTCACAATCCCACTTCCTCCGACAGGTCAGCCTGGAATGGCCGAAAAGCGGTCAAACGTTGTACAGGTGTTTTTTAAATGTAGTTTATAGAGTCGGACGTATCGAGCATCAGTTGCACGTAAGTGAAAAACGTTTGTTTTAGCATGCCAGAATGCCTATTGTGTACAGGTTATGTTGCTAGTTTCAATTTGTTGATATGTAGTGCATAAAGTTAAGTGCAGTGCACTCAATCGGGACGTCTGGTTGGGGTCCTCGTTTCCCAAATGTAACGTTACTTTTGTGCTGTGTTGACGTTGCGAACTTTGTAGGCCACGCTTCTAGCCGTTTCTTCATCAATTTTTCGATAATTATCACTTTTCGATCGAGTGCTGTGTACTACGTTGTGATGTAATAGTGTGTTTAGTTTAACAGGCCTCTTAAAAAGTTTTAATTGGTGTTTGGAAAGTGGACACGGATATAGGTCGGACTGGCCGAAAGAATTTGCGCTCCTTCACAGTTTTTCTCTGTTAGTATTTCCCAAACAATTTCTTTTGCAACTGCATTACATTACCCAATCGACAAACAAAGCTGCTCGACAGGGTGCTTGCCCTTTAGGCGCCAACGGACCCTCGCAACAATCTAGAAAGTCCCTCACGTTAATTAGGTATCTTCCATATTTCCCATTAACTTTTCAACCGTTAGACTCCAGGTAAACGAGTGATTTTTTTCTCAAATGGCCGGGAATTATCACACTGGAATTGAATTTACCCGAGTTAAGTAAACAATGACGTAATATGAAACTAACGCAAGAGCTAAGTCTATTGGTAAAGCGGTGTAAGAAGGGATTTGCACAAAGAGAAGCATAACTAAAGGTGCAACGCCTTGAAAAAAATATATTACTTAATATATTACTCAGTATCTAAAAATTGAGATAAAAGTAACCGCAAAAATATCTACCAAACGTTCCCGATTTCGTAATGTGCGGAATTTTACTGGACAGATAGAAAGCCGAAAATTTCTTTTGTTAAGAGTTTAGAAACAATTCTTTGTTAAATCATTTCAGTTTTATGAAAAATGCACTTAAATACATTCAGAATGCTAAATGAGTGTTTGTTTACATTTCTGTGAGTTAAATTTTGAATCAACTGTTACATATTTAGGCTTTAAAATTAAAACTGTTGTATTTCAATGGATCTCTTATCACTTTCAAATCGTTTCCACATTAAGCCACATGTCTTAATTCTAAAAATAAAATCCGATTATTTAGAATTAATTATCACCGTAGAATACGATCATCTGGGTATCGTTATCTTTGACTATGTATAGAGTGACTCAACTATTGAAAACATTGGAATAAAGCGATTTCCAAATCTTTAAAAATACATCAATCATTGTAAAAGTTTACACAGTAGGCTTATTATTGTTTGTTTCTTCAAGATTGGGAGGAAAGTGGTAGTTGTTTATTTATAATACATTTCAGATTATCAATTAGAGTTGAATTTAGGATTAGACCTGTTTAGTTGGTCATAATTAAATAAATTTAAAAGCAATAAAAAAATTCTTGTTTTTCCAAAAGAAATATATTTCAAAATGTACTCATCTTTTGCACATTCATCTTTTTAATTTTGGTCTCCATACCACAACTTTATTTTCCTTAATTTAGTGGCGTTCACATTTTTCTGCGTTTGGTAGTAATGCGAAATAATAGTAATGTTTAAAAATATATAGGTATATGGACAACAATGACAATTAAAAAACAAAATCAAAATCAAGGATTTTTTTTTATAAATATTCTGTGAACAACTTGTGAATTCTATTTCAGACTTTTGGCACGACAAACTTTAATTGGTATCAGTTAATATTAGACTTTCAAATTAAAAAAAATGCTTAATTAATGTTTTGCTTTGTAGCGTAGTGATAGAAGAGATGTTACTTTTTGTTGACACCAGTTTTTTTATTGCAAAAATAAAGATTATTAATTTTATTATTGTTAAACTGGGTGTTATGTTTTATGAGAGAAAACGTTCTGGTTTCTTTCAGGTGTTGATGGAATCCCCAAGAGCGTTGGCTGAGTTCTTCAAGTTCCTGCGGTGATCATGGCCGACACTGCAGCCGAGAATGAGGCAGATTCGGGTAGTGGTGGTCCTACACAGGAGGCACCTGACGGCACTCAAGAAGACGACGCCGAACACAACGAGGCCGAACGTGTGACGGGTTCAAACACGAACTACGATTCCAGCGAAGGCACTCATCGTTGCACCCGATGCGACTTTGAAGCCGTTAGTCAAGTAGCCTTAGCAGCCCACGTGTCCCAAGCCCACACCACGAACGAAGTCAAAATGGAAACAGAAAACAATAACTCACCACCCGACCGGATACACCGGAAGATGTTCGAATGTGACGTCTGTAACATGAAATTCAGCAACGGGGCGAACATGAGACGCCACAAGATGAGACACACCGGAGTGAAGCCCTACGAGTGCAGAGTGTGCCAGAAAAGGTTCTTCCGGAAGGACCATCTAGCCGAACACTTTACAACTCATACGAAAACGTTGCCTTATCATTGCCCGATTTGTAACAGGGGATTCCAGAGGCAGATTGCCATGAGGGCTCACTTCCAGAATGAGCATGTGGGGCAACATGACTTGGTCAAGTCGTGCCCACTTTGTAGTTACAGGGCCGGCTCGATGAAGAGTCTAAGAGTGCATTTTTTTAATAGACATGGTATTGATTTAGATAATCCAGGACCGGCTGGGTCTCAGGCGTCTCTGTTTGCTGCAGCGGCCCAACAGGGATTTTCCATGGACAGTGCTTTGACTTCCTTGGGTAATTTAGCCGGAAGCGTGTCTGTAAGCGTCACCGGAGCGAATTATAGCGACTCCGGGGATTCCACGGGGGCTCGTTCGACGGACAACGCAACGCCACCTATGCATTTTCTAACACCGCACGTGGAAATTTCAATGGCCGATGCTCCCGCACCCGTTTTTTCTCCCAATTTTGTAAGTCCAAATCGTCTTTGGTATTTTTTTCTAAAAAGGTTTGTTTAGAACGACCAGCGTTCGAACCTCCCAGGCCAAAGCGGCGAAGTGTCTCAAAGGATAAATGGCGAATGTCCTGGTTCCCCCCAATCAGCCGATTCCAATTCGAATGCTCCGTCCAGCAGCCATATTCAACCAAATTCCCTTAGAATAGATCAAGAAACGAACATAACACCATCAATTTCATTAATACCAATTAAACAGGAACCTGGAGATGAATTGTACGATGTTTCGAAACGAAACGGCCCTAACCCAAGCACCTCTCCCTCGGGAAGCGTTCAAATGCAAACAGCAACCTCAAGTAGCCTTAGCTCGTTAATCAAAGTGTCTCCGTTAAAGAGCTTACTTCGTGACGATTTAAAGAGGAAAATTGTCTCACGGATGAACTCCTCGCCTAGGGGGAGGTCCACCGCGAGTCCTAATCAGAATCCTGAGACTTCGCCTAGTGACACGGCGACTACTACCAATGGGGCTATCACTTCGACGGGGCCCGAACAACCGTCGGATTCGTCCCTGTGGCGGGCGATGGGCAAAAGGTCCTTGTCTAGTTTACAATGTATTTTCTGCGGGATCGGATTTCCAGACCAGACTTTGTACTTTTTGCATAAAGGGTGTCACTCTGACGCGAATCCTTGGAAATGTAATATCTGCGGAGAGCAATGCTGCAATGTTTACGAGTTTAATTCGCATTTGTTGAGTAAAAGTCATCAATAGGCTGGATTTACTTAAACTATGACATACTTTGTAAAGTTTAGATTTGTTCAAGTTTCATACAATGCAAGTTTTACACGGAAAAATGAAGTAATGTGATAATTTGTTATAGAAATTGTTGATGCATTCTTGTTTTTTTAACAAGTTCAGGGTTTTATGGGTACATTTTACGAGCATTCCGTTTAGTTTCAACATTCCCTTTTGGAAAAAATATCCAAGTGCCTACCGGTTGCCTATAAGCAAGATTACCTGAAGATTTGCTCGAAACTCATATCCGTCCATTAGTGAAAAGAGAGAGAGGTATATTTACAAGTATGATATTTTCCAAAATATATTGTAAAGCAAGTGCTTAGTCTCTTATAGTTGGAGCTTCATTACATTGTTACATAAATTAGAATTAAGTTTTACATTTTATATATACATTCCATTTTAGTGTATTGTTGATTCCATGAGACAGAAACAAAATAGTTTGTACAGTATTTATTGTTATATTTTATGGTAATTTTATTTCGTGCAATATATTTTGCAGTGCCTTAAACAAAAAAATTGCACTCAGATGATTTTTAGTTTCATTGAAATTCTTTTATGTTATAAGGATTTTATTTTCATAGGAAATTTTTGTAGTGTAGATATTAGGGCGACATGTTACATTCCTTCAATTCATTCAAAAATATAGATATATTTATTTTTTATTTATACACAAAATGTAAATTACAAATTCTTGTAATTCTGGTGAAAGGGTTAAATAAACTTTATGGAATTTTCGTCTCGCTTCGTTTCACTTACAATTTAAAAACAAACACCGGAAAGAAGCCAAAAAATAAATGAGGTCATCCGTTACAATTAGCAAAAAATTTCAAGTTAAAAATGCCGCTGAATTTTAAATTCGTGATCACGTGACTAACAATTGACATCAGCGCCAATCAGCATTTACCTGATACGAACCGGCACTCAGTGGTTTTCAATTTTTATAAATTATTTTAGGGTAACCGTGTTTTAAAAAGAATTTTTCCTCCTCACGACATGCAAATCATTACATAAACCAAGTCTGTGATAGTCGATGTTTTGTGAAGTTATTTTGAAGTTTGTTTGTTTCCTAACCTAGCAAATTTGTTTCTCCATTTATGGCTAAAAGAACGGCAACAAGTGATTTAAATCACGATAATTGGGATAGGGAGGATGAACCCGAAGATGCTGGAACATTTGCAAAAGCTTCAGAGGAAACTTTGAAGAACAGAGTTATTAAAGTTGCCCGTAGGAGGAACCCAATATCATCAGTCCAAGTAAGTATAATTTTTGATATTATCTTTTTAAGTAGGAAAAATTTAAATTTCTAGAGTGACGATAGCAAACCCAGCGCGTTTGGTGGCTTTTCTGGGTTTGGTAAGACGCCAACTAGTTCATCAAACACGTTTGGATTTTTGTCAAATTTAAATAAAACCGAGACAAATAAAACTAACGGGATTACTGAAAAAGAAGCAGAAACCTCTGATAAAAAATTAGACGAATATTACGCTAAATTGAAAGGATTAAATGAGAGTGTCACTGAATGGATAAAGAAACATGTATCCACAAACCCGTTCATTAATTTACAACCAATTTTCAAAGATTATGATAAGTATATCAATGAACTTGAAAAGGCGAAATATGAAGCAGCTTCAGAAAAATGTGTAACCTCAAGTAGTGCCACAACTGCACCCCAATTTTCCTTTGGTACAACTTCTACAAGTACAGTTCCCAAATTTTCATTTGGGGTCACATCTACTGCGTCAAGTAGTTTTTCATTTGGTCCCACCGCTACAACTGTTAGTTTCAGTTCAAACAGTAGTACTGCTACCTTATCAGCGGGCGAAAATTCCTTCAAATCTCAACCATTTTCATTTGGAAATTCAGGTTCAGACAGTGGCAAATTCTCATTCACAAGCACTGTAATAAAACCAGCTGATGATTCAAAACCCCAAGAGCAAGAAGATGAAGATGAGCCACCTAAAGTTGAATTTACTCCAGTAGTAGAAGAGGGGCATATTTATTCAATCAGATGCAAAGTTTTTGTGAAGAAGGAAGGGAAATTTGGGGACCACGGTGTCGGCACTTTGTACCTCAAACCAATCCCAAACAGCGAGAAAGTCCAACTCATCGTCCGAGCTGATACAAATTTAGGGAAATTAATTTGTAATTTTATTTTGTCTGAAAGTATCCCAATGCAAAGAATGGGGAAGAAAGACGTTATGTTAGTTTGTATTCCAAATCCAGACATGCAACCTCCACCTGTGCCAATATTATTACGGGTGAAAAGTCCAGAAGATGCTGATGAGTTGTTAAAAACTTTGCAGAAACATAAGAAATAGGCTAGGGGTGTTTAGCTCAATAAAATATTTTTCTAAGTACATTTCTTTGTTTTTCAAACCAATTTTGATAAAAATTTAAACATTTTTTAAATATTCCCGCATTTAAAATTACATTTAGTGTCTAATATATACATGTTTTATTAATTATACAAGTAAAATGTACAGATCCACACGAAGATAGGTACAGTAATAATTATAAATAAAACCACAAAACAGTAAAGTAAAAAGACTTGTAGTAAATCGAAAATGTGGCCTTTCATATTGCACAGCATTATGCGTTAAAAACCTGTAAGAAAAATTAAAGATAAAAAAGTATCATAGCTTTGTAATTCCATTGATGGCGAGTTTTTTATCTAAATTTTGCCCGAGACCAACTTGGATGTGTTTCATATGAATTTCGACGGAATTCTGGAACACTAGTTGATTATTTGGAGTCAACTTCCTCTTGATTTGTTCCATCGTGCCTTGTAGAACTTGTAATTCGTATGCATTTTGATCCGAATCGGCCAAACTTTTTACTTGCAACATTAATGCTGTGAGATCCGTAATAAGGTCCAAAATAGATTTATTCTTAACAGGATCCTTATCAGCAGAAATGATCGAATTCTGTCTTTGTACAATTTCCGCTGCATCTTCTCTGCATTTCTCCCTCAAATGACTTGGAGCCAACATTGCCGCCACACTCGGCTCTGGAGCGATTTCCTGACAGAGAGCCTGTACATCATCTAAATACAACTGCAAATCATGATTTAATTTCTCAAGCTCGATTAAAATGCATGCGTAATTCCGTTGAAACTCTTCCGGAATTTCCGAGTGAAACGAATTAAATTTCTCTGCTTTAGCGTTCATGCCCTTTAGTTCGTTGACTTTCGTTCTTTTTACGCTAAGAATTTTCGTTATTAAAACCATTTTCTCTAAGAGCTTAGTCGGGTAGCCCCCTATCCGGCCTTCCTCTTGCGGAAAAATGGGTTTATTTATCATGGAACCCGACAATAATGGATCTTTCTTGAACTTCAGATTGGTGTAAGGCGAAATTTTCGCTGCGTATGTTGAAATACCGTTCCAAGGTCTGAATTTGTTTTGGAAACTTGACAATGAGAGGGTTTCGGGTGGTTCATTTGACAAAACTTCATAATCAGGTACAGAGTGTGTACCTAATCCTTGACGCTCAAACGTTATTCTGTAGGTATTATTTGAAGTGTCTACAGCGTCAATACTTCCAGTGAACAATCCGTCTTGCGGCTTCCTGAGCCTGGCTGTAACTTTTGTACCAATGACCAATTGCATGGGTATTTCAGGTGGCAGGTCTTTAAAACTAGAAAGTTCTGTAGCTTTCCTCTGTTGTAAAGCTCTGATTTTTTTCCGTTTCTTCTCCAATTCTAATCTTTCTTCGTGAAAGAAAGCCTGAGAGCAACGTCGAGGTTTCCCCATCATTCTTCTAATTTTCGTCCACTGTACTCTCGTCAATTCGCGTGTTTTTAACTCAGGAAAAGACTCTTTCAAGCAGATACTAAAATCATTTTCCCCCGAAAACAAACACCGGTCGATATCGCTATAAAACCACTCATAACAAACCCATTTATGTGCCTTGGGTAACTTGAGCACATTTCTTAATCTAAGTCCGATTTTTTGTCCGATTTTACGATCGGGTGATTGAAGGGGTGGTGGTGAAACATTCCGAGGCGACTTGACATCCCTCGGTATGTTCCTCTTGGGCGTCTCTCTGAAACTCTTGGTGGGAGTGTTCACTTTAGGTTTTTTCACTGGTGTCTGCTTAATTTTTTTAGCTGAAGGTACTCTGTGATGTGGCGTGTTGACGATATCATCGTCATAAAACAGTTTATTTTTCTTCCTGATCCTTGCAGGCATACCACGGGCATTTAGGACTTGTGTTGGCTGGGTGGGAGGCGGTTTAGGTGCAGCTGGAGCACCCACTCTTTGCAGTCCAAGAGCTGCAGGCCCTAAGGTCGGGACATCGTCGTCGACGTCCATCTCGGTTTCGTCCTCCTCGTCCGTCACCTCTTGTTTGACAGTAACCCCCTGTTCGTTCGTCATTCTGCGTCCGTTTTTGAACCCTGAATCTGATTCACCTGGATTCAAATAAAAACAACAATGACTACATCGCCGCTTACATAAACTCGTTTTTATTATTGGTTACGATCCATGCATTCCGATTTCAGTTTCGTAATATTGGGACGAAAATTCAAATTTTGAATTTGGTACAACAATATTTTCAAATTTAAAACATCGTTCCCACCAAAACATTCTATTATTTCTGGTTCTTATTGTGCTATAAGGAAATAATAAAGTGGATAACTTACTCGACGAAAGTACAAAGATTGATTGTCGGACAATTTTCACAACCAAAGCACTTGTATTTGTTCCAAATTTATCAAACTAGACGCGTTTTACTTACTTTCAAGTTCGTCCGCCATATTGACGTCAAGTTTAGGGGATTGTGGGAGATTTACGCGGCATCATTGACGCACCCTAATCACAGGACGCGATTCGATCACATAAACGAACATTTTTCTTTTAATGTTTACACAATTGGGACAAAATCTGTTTCAAATCACCAAAACAATTGTATAATTGTGGTAATTAAACAATCAGCCTCATAACTAATGTGGTATTTAAAATGAATTTTGTTTATTTTCAAATCATCTGATCAAAGATTGTGTCCTGTTAACAATCCGACACGAATTAAAAATAGCAACGGATTAAATTTGATTAGTTTTTGTGAAATCCACAAGCAAAAAGAGATTGAATGGAACGGTGAAAATTCTCTCAAGCCTATTTTCACGTCATGAAATTTAACTAACGATTTTTTTGAATTCATAAAAATGAGATATTGCGCAAGTCACATCATGGCCCGCCTTGGAAACAATTGAAATACGAAATCGATGCTTATTTATCAAAAATGATATCACTGATAAGAATTTTTCTGTTAATTTCTATTTTAAAGACAGTCTGTACGTTGGATGAAATTTATAAAAATTGCAGAGACAGGGAGCGTCTAATTGAACATGAAAAAGGTGACCTCTACACATTAATTGATGCAACGCTTCATCAAAAGTTAACGTTGCAATGCCATTATTGGTATGCTAATACTTAAATTGTTATTAGTACGATAAAAGTAAACTTTCTGTTTAATTCAAATCGGCGAGAGCTTCATCAAGGGTACATAATTGCGAAAATATTTCTCACAACTTGTATTTAAATATAGCGGCGAAAATGACGACGGGAGGCCAAAAGTTTGGTATAAAATCAAAGATATTGGAAGCCCTGCACCATCTGAAGTGGATTTAGACATGAATAATAATTCTACTTTGGAAAGAGTACACGTAAACAAAGAGCACAGTTTGATTATTCATAATTTTACAAAAAATGATACGGGGTTGTATTACTGTGAGAGATATGAAGGAGAGCAACAAGACAAATACAATTATTTGGTCGATCGTAAGTCCAAACGTAAAATAAAAACAATTTTATCGGCCCAAGCTTCATTCAAAAATAATCGTTTTTGAAACGATTCAATAACAACAGATAACATTTACAAAAGCATACCTTATACAATTCACACTCACTTCAATTCCTTGTGAGAATTTTATCAAAAACTCAATTTAAACACTGAAAAAAATTCCGCCTTTATAACCTCTACACATTTCATATTTTTTTGAGTGTTGTGTTGGCGACATTGACAGCTCAGACGCGCTAAAATTTGAAATTTTAGTTGTTTTCCAAGATAACATTTCGACGCTTGAAACAGGGAATATCACAGTTTGGCGCAAATACCATGATGAATATTTTTTACCAATCAATACTTTATTTAACCACTCAGAGGGTGTAGAATTTCGGCATATCCGTGAACAATTAAACATTGAAATGGAAATGGTCACAATTTGGGGGCCTTGGGGTATTTGCCAAGTGTGTGGGAGACCGAAAGATGAAGGAATCAAAAAGAAAGTTGGATACTGTAGAATTAAATTAACACAAAAGGTACTTTTCGAATGTTTGAAAAACTAAACTCAAAATACTATCTTCAAAAGGGAAGTGCATCAATGCAAAATAATAGTGACTTACATTTTATAAAAAATGCGAATGAAATTGCGTGCCGTTCAAAAATTTTAGCTAGGATTTTGCCCGGTGTTAGTAATTTAACTCGAATTATACCAAACTTTGTACAGACGGAAGTTTGTCAAGGGACTTGTAACCCCGGTAAGCTTTTTTTAATAGTAGAGTGGTCAACGAGGTAATAAATAGACGCGGAGGGTTTTAGTAAGGGTTGGAAAGCCGGCAAAACCTCAGCTTTCAAGTATCGAAAAATTTTTGTTTTGGCTGAAGGCTCGCATTTAACATTAGTGTGCCCAGAGTAAGTTCTATTCAATAATTTTCGATTAATTATTGTATATTTACAAAGATCAACTTTGGAAAATAAAGTTGTTTGGAAGAAAAATGGTAAAGTTTTGGAAGCCGGAAAGAGCGTCGTGCCGCCAAAACCGGAAGACGAACCTCGAATCATCGTCGACACTTTTAATACTTTGTATTTAGTTAGCGTCAAAGAATCTGAGGAAGGAAATTACACTTGTCAAGTGGATGATATAAGAATGCAGCAGATAATTATTTATGTAATATCAAAAGCGCGAATATTGACTCAAGGTTGTTGAAAAAACATTGTCAATAATTGTATTGTAACAATGATTTTAGCTTTTGTTCGCCATATGATGTATTTGGGATTAGTTTTATCTCTCACGCTACCTTGCTATTGTGCCGGACTTATAATAGCATGCAGTAGAAAACGAACTTATAAAAATTACGAAGAACTAAAAGAAGAGGACGCCCGGAAACACCGATATCTAAAATTACCTTAAATTATATAAATTTATACAACCAACAATGCGCTTTATTTCTTGTGTTACTACCTACATAAATTCTCAAGGTATTCGCGATCGCGAAGAGAAAGTTTAGAGTGGAATGTCTCCTGGTGCAAGTTTGACGTATAATGGGTCTGTTTAGATCAATTTTACTTAGTGTATCCTTCATTTTCCTAATTTTTACTCCTAAATTAACAAATGGTATGTATTCAAGTTTTGTTTCTACATTTTTCCAAAGAATCAATGAACCGTTTCAGGAATTCTTAAGCGCTGTTTTGTATGCCGATCTCGGGGAGAGTTAGGAAGTTGTAAAGATCCGTTCACAGTTAATGTCACACAAATCGATTTGGAAAAAGGCGTAGAGGCAGTTCCGTGTGCTTCTGGGTGGTGTGGAAAATTATTAGAAACAGAAAATCCACTAAAAGAAGGTATTTAATATTGAAAAAGTAAAACAAGTTAAAATCAAATCAAATCGACAGAATATGGAGTCGCCACAGAACGGATGTGTCTCAGAAGGGGACCTTCTGACAGTGAAGACAGATGCGCGTATGTAAAATGGAATTTTAGAAGAGTCCTTATGTGTTTCTGCAGAGGAGATTTATGTAATTCCTCAAGTAGACTGACAGTGAATTTGCCTTTTCTTCTCACCTGGTGTATCCTTACTAGACTGATTTTAAATTTTTTGTAAATAAATCAATTTTAATTTTTGTTTAAATCATTTTATTAATAATTTACAAAATTACTTAAACCTATAGAAGGGCAAGTGATTCCTTAAAGATCCCAGTTTATTCCCTGCTAAGCCACTACGTCTTCTCTGTTCTTGATTTTGCAAAAGAGCATTAACGTGGTTAATTTCTTCAAAAAATAAGGGTTTTCTGTATAAATACGAAGCCGCTAGTTTTGCTGCTCTTCCAGTCAAAAGATATGGATCTGGATACTCTGTAAAACCATTAAAATCCGATTATTTCATCCACGTGACTTACCTAAACCATCGCTAAAATCAGGAGTGATATGTCCGCGATGTTCCTCAAATCCTAGAGAATTTGTATGTGGGTGAAAATCCCCATCATTCCAGAAGTGACTTTGGGTAAAAAAGTGTTTATTTTCAAAACTGAAACTCCGTGATCTTCGTCCAGGCAAATCCGAAGATCTTGTTCGTCCATTTCGAATAAAACTCACATACTGGTAACTTACTGGGGATGAGTTTACTAACGATACAGTTGTCAGGATGAAGAAATAAAGCAGGATCTATAACAATGAATTCGTGACTTGATTTAAACGTATTTAAATTAGATACAAGATGTTTTGATGCAATCAATGCATTTCGAGATGATATTTTTTATAGTTAGGTGGGTTTACAATGAATGGGTGTCCTTGTTATGTTAGCGTTTATTTATTGCCTGAAAATGAGCAAAAGTGTTCAGGTGTAGTCGTTTGGCCTAGTTCTGATTCTGAGACACTAAAAATAAATAAATATAAAGAACTGGTGATTACAAAGCGTAAGAAATGCAGTTGCACGATCATTATAATGCGTTTTTGTCACTGATTTATAAAATGAATTTGAAAATGAAAGTGATCGATAGAAAAGTATTACTCCTAGTTATAGGAACGGTTCTGGTCATTGATTGAAAGTTCAAGTCCAGTTATAGTTATTCAATCATTTTTGATAGGTACAGGTTTTTAAAACCAATTTCTTCCATTATATCATAACAAAAGTTTTTCTTATTCTTATTCTGTACCAGTGGCGGCTCGTCAGGGACGGCAACATAGGCAGTGCCTATGCGATACAAAATTCAAAAAATGCAACAAAGAATACAAAATAGTAAAACTAAAAAAGAAACTGAACTTGATGTGCCTGATAAAAAGCTTAAAACTTTTCCATTATATTTTTCGAATTTCTTTTCAAACTGGGTACGCTAACAAAATCGTTCATAAGCTTCCAGCTGCGAGGATTTTACTAAATATTAAAATTCGAGTCGACTGTCGACCCATTTGCGGACTGCGGACACATTTTTTAAGAAAGATTTATCTTACATACAAGATTCTGCTCTATCTACTAAAAATATTATTTTTTTAACCTTTTTGTTAATTTACAAAATTTTTATGTTTAAAAATAAATTATTTATCAAGTTCTCAGTCAAATACGACAGTAATAACAAAAATTAAGAAAAAATTTATTTACTTTTCGTAAAAAGAATTCAATACAAAAAGATTGTATATTTTAATATTAAAAAAATTTAATAAAATCTTTGATATTTTACATTTTTACATTTGTCAATTTAAAGTATAATATATTCTATAAAAATATGTCCACATACATAATAATTTTAGAAAAAGTTGTGTATTAGATGAGGGGGGAGGGGTCAAGACAGCTTTGCCTGCCTACCCAGTTTTAATGATCAAGAGCCGCCACTGTCCTGTACCTACTTACATTATATAGGCTACATATACAAAACTTGATGATGTATCTATTATTTTATAAAATGTAGGTGTAGGCACCAAATTTTTCATAGAGGACTACTGAGGTTTGAAAAAAATATATATTTTTTTCTGGGGCATCAAAATTTTAAACATTTTTTCTTTAATTCCTAATTAATCACTCTCAATGCCTCAGTGAAAGTTATTAGCTGTAAATGCCATAGATTTCATACTCATTGCTTATGATAGTCTAATGACCGGAAATGTGTAAAATGCAATAAATGCAACTAAAGAATATGCTTCTGGCTTCTGTTGAACTTATTTAATAGTGTTTTTTATTAATAAACCAAACATTTATTTATTAAAATGACTGAAAATTATAGAGTTAGTTAAAAACTTATAACTACGGCATCATTAGTGAAGAATTCCTATTAAATCTTTATCCTGTATATCAAGTTTAATAAAAAATAAAAATTAATTAAAATTGCGTTAAAATATTTCAATGTCGTTCTGATGACTTCACTTGCTTTTATCGAGATTCAAGATTATGTTTCCATTCTCTTGTGTAAAGCATCAGTTTTTTTGAAAATAGACCTGTGTAAGTCTTGTGTGCTAATAATGATATTTCCCCATATTTCTCGTTATGCGCCCACGGAAAGAGCTCATCAATCGGAGTAGTAATAGGAAGCTGACCATATAATTTATTACGCAAACATATTTTGAAAGTGGTAATCCTTCCATCTTCAAACAATGCTAACAAGTTGCAATTTGTTAAAAACTCACTTAAATTCGCATTTTGTGAGAATTAGAGCTGCTCTTTCGTAAAGCTCACCTGGTGACCTATTGTTAAGTAAATACTTGGTAAACAATAAAATTTTACAAAAGCGGAAACTGCATAAATCATAAACTTATTTAAATGAATCCTGTTTTAGTCGTTAAACTTTGACACCATCTTTAAAGACACTTTTGCTCGAAAGTTGGTTCCGTTGTTCCATAAACGAGAAGAAAGTTACTTCAATCATTTTTCTAATGTGCAAACAAATAGGCTTGTGCATCTTAATTACATCACACTTATGTAACGCTGTTTGAATATAATTTATTGTAAGATAATAACTGCGGTAAAGTAGCTCAATAAATTTGATTTTGTAGCAATGGTCCTTGTCAAGAGATTACACATCAGAAAAGCATCGATAAAAAAATTCTTGTTACCTCGAGTCATTTGTGCCAATAAAATATTGGTATGAAAAAGGTGAAATATTTCGAGATAATTGGCAATCTTGAAAAAAATACTCGCAATGTGTAATATTTTCTAGATGTAGAGATTAATCAGTCAACCTTTAGCCATTTACATTTATTATTAATCTTGGAGAGTGTTCCCTTCACTGATTTATTAATATGAGATTATTGACAATGTAGGGCATACACTCCCCAAATTTTAACATAATATAGTATGATTTCATCTCTTTATTGCAAATCTTTGGTGTATGGAAATTTCGGTGACTAATACATTTTTCAATATTAAATAATATGTCCCATTTACGAACTTTCTCAATTGTAAAGCATCTTCCTCATATTTCCGTTTCAAGTGTTAATGAAGTCATGTGACGATGTAATATAATCAACGACCTTTCACAACATTATTAAAAATCAAATCACTTTCCACAATACTCGGATACCAACAAACTTTTTACATAACACAACAAATGATTGTGCAGTGAGAAACAAGTGAAGATGAAATGCAATATGATAAGAATCAGTTCACAAAAGCAGTGTTTGTGCAATGATTGAATCCGGGTTGTCACAAGGAAAGCTTCAAATGCCACCGGAAATTCTAATTGATTTCCAGGTTTTTGTGCATGTGTTCATCAAAATTGTGCAATTACAGTTGCAGCAAATCACGGTCAATGTTTTACCTTAAAATCGAAGTTTACACATGTTTGACCTTTTTGAAATGTTGGATTGCAATAATTACATTGTTTTTGGACAACCGTGACTTTTATTACAAATAAGTTATTTTTTCAGAATGGCAAAAATTCGTTTTGTTTTCAATTGAAACCAATAAACACTTTTTGTAAATTTATTACCACCTTAATCAGTAAACACATTAATAACAACACAGTTATTGAAATGTTAAAATCATCACAGTATATTTACGAGTTCATTTGTGATTACAGGAAAATTATGAAAGAATGTGTTATTTCGCTATGCACCATTAACTTTAAAAATATTTATTCACAAAAGCCACATTGATTAACCTTTTCTCTATAAATGGAAGCAAACACGAATCGAATCCTTATTATTATTTCAGCTGAAATTAATTCGTAAAAAATCGGAAATATAATATTTTTAAAAGTCAAATGAATTAAAATAATAGTGTTGTAACAGATAGAGAAAGACTTTTTTTTATTAATATACAGGTTATGACATGTTTTTTTCTTTTTAATATATTTAGGATAGAAATTGTAAAGACAAAATGGTTCCAAGGCTTGCATGCCAAAATGTCAATGAAACTGATTCATCAAAAGATAAATTCATTAAATCAACAAAACGGACCTAATGAAATGTTAATCGATGAAAAGTGTAAACCTTGTGTTTTATAAAAACTGGATTTGACTACTGTTAGGAACCGAGACCACCAACGAACAGTCAAATACCACATGTGTGAGTTCTTCTATTTGCAAAAATTTTAAATGATTTGTAACTCAATGAATAATCGGTAAGAAGTAAACAAAAAAAATAAATAAAAAATCAAATTGACAAAAATAGAAATTATTTACTAAAATATATCAGATGCATAAACTTGACATTTCTGCACTATTTAATTGCGCAACTCTATGCTAATACATTGTCAATTAAGTCAATAATGGAGAAAGTTCGTGTGTATCTAAGGCAAAAGCGCCTACGGTTTTAAGATACAATAATTTTTCTATGGATAAAACAATAAGGTGCGGGTGTATTTCATAATATGCATGAACTTATCTGAAAAAGCTCTACCGGTTGAGTCAATGAAAGTGAAATTTAAATCTAAAAACGACGGTCAATTTTTTAGATCTTTGTTGTTACAGCAAATATTACTTGTATTTACGCTTTAGTGCACAATGATACAGACTATGTTGCAATTGTATCCAAGTTGCGTTATGTGACCGGTTTTATGATCTACAGGGATTAAATTTAATATACGATGCTTTGCATTATGTCCGTGTTTGTTTTAAAGATTAGAGAGATATTGACCTAAATTAAATTGCACTCATTTTGATGCATGGCGTCAAGGTCTTGGAAAGTAAAAGTACAATACAAAAGATCATTCATCACACTTTACAGTCAATTAAAAATTTTAGCACCCTGACGTTGTGCGTTAAGCAGGAAATCGCGCAAGAAGGGTTGCAACCGAAGCTGGTGCAATACTTTCACACATAAATTTTGTTTAATTGCGTAAATTACCAAATCATTAAAAGCTTACTAACTTAATTCTCAATTGATAGTTTTCTCCGTTTAAAAAATCAATGTCGAGGCATAGAAAGTAAAATCGGCGACATTTTATTTATTAAAACGATATGAAAGGGCACTTGCAACTAATTGCATTTATAAAATTGTAGACGTTCGTGCACTTTCTAGTAATTGCTCATCGAGAAATGTTACTGATGGATTTTCTTAGAGAGCATCTTGGTTTCATTTCCGACAGTTATTATGTGAAAAAACGACACGTAACTGACTCTTATCTGTAGTGATCATGGTTTTGTCTGGAAGTCTGGAATGGATTTGCTTTACAATCTCGAGGATGGTTTTTTCGGTGCCATATTTGGAAATGGACTCAACAAAAAAACATTTGAAGTTGAAGACTTCAAAATGATAATGTTATGTTGGACATGGTGATAAAATAAACTCAAATAGTTCAAAAAGCCCATCTTCTAGGACAATTTAAATAAAGAAATTCAACTAATTTTTCTTTTATTTTTAAGTTTAAGCCAGTCCCATTTGATAGTGCGCCGAGTATGATTCTATTCTAAAAATTTAATAATAACTTTTTGTCGTATTTGCCACATAAAAGGCACTATACAGAAAAATAGTCTTTTTAAAAATCTTCAAGGCATACTGTATTTTTCAAAACTAAAATTATGTTAGAAACCAAGCAGGGCTGAACCCGAAAAAATTAAAATTTAAGTCGTTTTACCTAACCGAGGACACACTGTAATAAAAAAACGACTTTTGAAGAAGTATCTACTCAATGTAATTCAATTAGTATTCTATTGTTTAATTAAAGTAAGTTTTGCCAATTTTGGTCATGAATATTTAGTTTTCTTTAAATAAAAAAAATACTTCACTATTACCAAGGTGAAGACAAAAATATTTTTTATACAACTATTTACGAGTACCTTTAAAAAATGTTGTAATTATAAACAAATATATCTAACAAAAAGGAAATCAAAAAATTACATTAGCATATGAAAATATTTCAAAAACATCGCAGTTTATTAAATTATTATTCACTGAAAATAAAAAAAAATATTTTTATTTTATTTTGAGCAAGACATTAAAAATTTATAGTTGTAATAATTCAAAAAAGTAAATATTAAACAAAAAAATTAACATTACTCACCATTTTTTAAGCTTCCGTTTGAGCCGTTTATTTACGGTGCACACCTTGCACTCATATCACCGCACTCACAAGAAACATTAAAATCGCAAGTTCAGGTCGGCAAAGCTCCAGCAGAAACGTTGAATAGAGAATAGCGTACATTACCGATTCTTTCACTTCGTCCAGCCACTAGTCTTCTTGTACTATCATTGACGGTAGAGACGTGCACTCACTTCTTACATCATTTTTTGTGAAATTGTTATTCCTGATGTTCATCCAATAAGATACTGATTTTGTGCAGTTTATCAGTAATGAGTAAAATTATGCAAGCTGTATGAATACGGTGATTCAAACTTTGCGTAATTTGTGGTAACGGTAATTGTGAGGCAAGGTTTGAAATAAAAACTTTATAATGAATCAAATTGTTTTGTTTAAATTGCCTTTTGAACGTTGTTTCTTTGATTTCAATTACAAAAGGATTAACTAAAATAAAGTGCATTGGATTAGAAATAGCAGCAGTAAGAAGAGGCACGTTTCCTTCAAAATACAGAGTGGTTATAAATGATTTTCATCTAGCCAGCTGTAAATTTTCCATGTAAAATAAAAAATGCCGCTTTACGAAAATAGGGGTACCTACTTGTAACTCAAAATTAAAAAATCGCCGTTTACTAAGCGTCCACTTCGAAAATAGACTTCAATTATAAACTTGTTTTCTTCCAAATATACATTATTATCAATTATTATTGGAAATTAGTTGAAACAATAAAAATTTAATTAACAACAATTTATTATTAATTAATAAGTGACACTAACGACAGAACTAGAGCTTTCAAAAAAGTAGAGCGGCACAAATAAAGTTACATGCAAAAAAATTCCAAAGCTGGCTAGATGAAAATCATTTATAACCACTCTGTATTTTGACGTTTACTGTCAAATATATCGCAGGAAGAGGCGCCTTAAAACTACTCGTACCCACAATCTATGGCAAATAAAAATATTAAAAATTTAAAATACTCCAACCCTTACTTATATTTATTGAGGTATACTAGTAAATTCCAAGGAAAGTAGAAGAAATCTAGAAAATATAAACGAAAATAAATGAAACTTTTTCGATTTTTTTTTAATTCATACCTACTCTCCGGTACCTAAATCAAGCTTTCCGGATCCATTTTGAGCTAATACCGTAACAGAGCCGGTAACACTTGCTGGATTGTAATTTTTTAACAAGAAAAAATCAATTTTTTTTGGCAAAATTTCTTGGAACAGTATGAAATAAAATAGACACAATACGATATACATCCGGTAAGCCTCTTATAAGTATTACGTACAGTTTCGAGATTCGCACTGTAATATTTGCCTTACCAAACTTTTAAAATTAAAATTGATGTAAATTACCATTTAAATGTAGGAGTATACAAAACTTAATGTGAAGATTGAGTTTTTACGTGTAGGTATTATTTGATTTGCACAGTATTAGTAGAAGGCTTCGACAGCCGTTAACAGTGAGCAAAACCTATCTCTTAATGCCAGTAGAAACAGACGCTAATCAATAAGACACCCACTTCCTCATCAGATCCTACGAAACCTAGAATCTGGTTTATGTATGCCAAAAATTCGCCGTCTTTCAAAGTTGGAGAGTAGTAATTTTAAATTCTAGGCAGTGTTTTGAATCAACATTTTATACTTACGGAGAAAAAACAGACAATTCTAACACCGTAGTCTGAAAAATTTCTTTTTCAAAAAAAAAAAAACAACATTAATTCTAGTTATTTAGAGATTTACGATTTTGTAACTTCATTCCTTCAAGGTGGTGCATTTTTATTGACACACGTAATTGCAAAAATATTCCAGAATAAAAATCCTTCACTCCAAATAGCGGATATGAAATAAAAGGTTTGGACTGGTACAAAAAACAACTTATTACCTACTCAAATACTTCAATGTCGAACTCTAAATTTTAGACACTAACTAATAGTTTTCGAGACAATTACCTAGTACAAAAAATTGCTTCTAAATGGGGCGTTTAGGTGTGAAATTTAATCGGTCTTCATTTTGAGCTTTTATTGTGCATGAAAGTAAAATTTCGTAACTTTGCATCAAGGTAAACGTAGGTATAGGCGCCGAGATGGTATGGAACAAGTTAGGTTTTATTGTTCCAATTTTGGCATTGAAATTTTTGTGTCAAATAAGTCCAGCAACCAGTGCACAGTGTCCACGGAAGGAGTTTTGGTAAAAATGGAGCAAACTGAAAATAATAATTTTCAACTAATTTAATAACATATTGTATTGGTAGTGTGTTTTTCTTTTTAATTTCAGTAGGTCCGTTTTATAAAGAAGAGGGAATAACTTCCTACAAAGTGTAGCAGAAGAAGATGCCGCTTTTTTTCATTTATCGCCGAATCAGTATGTATATGAGGTTTCATAGTTTTTTTTTAGTTCTGTAGTATATAGACATGCTTATTCTATTTTATACAATCAATGACCAAGTGATGAATGGTATTTCTATTTAGATAAGAGAAAAATTCTAGAAAATATCTGTAAAATCCCATCTTAGAAGTCATGCAACCAACAATGTGTTTCCACTTTATGTTATCAAAATTCGGGGTCATTGTTACTGTGATGACATTTTGCTCAATTTTTGTGTTTGATTAAAAAAATAGTTTTGTCACTGATTTTGTTATTAATTTGTATTTGTTTTTATAATTTTTTTTATTGTAATTGTGTAGATACATTTTAATTATGCATAATTTTTGTGAATTGTTGTGAAGTGTTGCGAAATCAGTAGATAACTCAACTCAAAAAATGTTATTTATCAATTTATCCAAACGATAGTCTTGTATCTGTAAAGTGTAAACAAGGCGGAAATGTTTATTCTCGTATTTTTCCTGCTTGTTAGTATCAACAATGTTAGGTTATATTTTACAAAAACTCAAAACTAAAAAAGTATTTTTTATCATAATAGCATCAGGAACATCCTTTTATATTTTCCAGGTATTTGTAAAAATTTAGAAATTCTAAAATTGAGATTTTTCATTTTAGAGTTTTTTTGAGTATTATTTAGTTCATAAAAGGTCACAATATCCAATAATTGTGTGGTGGACTCCATTCATGGGAGAAAATGAGCAGATTACCGCCTGTCCCAAGTATAATTGTATATTAACCAAGGACAGGAAATATTTAAACAATACAAATTTGCAAGTAAAATTTTATTGTTTCAAATTGCCTTAAATTAATTTCTGTTTAAAGGCCTTTTTATTTTATGGAAGTAAGTTCAACATCAGTGACTTACCGAAACGAAAAGACAAAATTTGGGCCCTTTTTCACGAGGAATCGCCGAGAAATATAGCACTTTTCTTGTATGAGAGAACCTTCGAGGTTTTTCATATAACGGCGACTTTCAGCCGAAATAGCGACTTTCCGTTGACTTTGCAATATTTAGAAGAATTAAGTTTACTTACAGGTGAATAAAAGCTACAACTTGCAATGTCCTTTAATAAAAGTTTCAGACACTCAGTATTTCGTGGATGTGAAAGAAAAAAATAAATTATTAGACAGTATTGCCCCAGTATTGTACATACAATCCGACTGTGATACTCCAATAGATAGAGACGCTTATGTAAAAGAACTTATGAAATATATTAAAGTTGATTCATATGGGAAATGTCTAAAAAACAAGGAATTCCCCCAAGAGTGAGACACTAAAAAAAGTAAAACACTTCATCTAATTTTTAGAATTTCCGAAATATACTCCTTGGATCTTTACAACGAAAAACTGCTCCACTTTACGGCCAAATATAAGTTTGTGATAGCTTTCGAAAACGCAATTTGCGACGATTACATCACTGAAAAATTATGGCGGCCTTTAATAGCAGGTTCAGTCCCAATATATCTAGGATCTCCCAGTGTTGAGGTGAGTTTACGTAATATTTTATTTCTTAATTTTATAAAAATAAATAGGATTGGTTGCCTAATAAAAACTCCGCAATATTAGCAAAAAATTTTCAAAGTCCGGCAGAACTTGCAAGTCACATTAACAAAATTAATAACGATGATTTCTTATATGAGATGTACCAAAGACACAAGTTTGGAGAAGTTGAGAACAGTTTTCTTAAAAGTTTCTTAGACAATAGCCCGTTTGGAATTGCTACTGGTCAAGAACACTTAGTTTCAGCGTTTGAATGTTTTGTTTGTGAACAGATTTATAAAGGGTGTGAAAAACGTGTGTCAGATTCTGTTTACAATTGTCAGAGACCAAGTCTGGGAAACAGTTGGGAATACTTTTGGCAATATGGAGATTGTCAATCAAAAATGTTGGTAAATTTTGTTAAAAACGATGTAATGGTAGAACCAGATGTTTGTTGATTAATTGATGACAAATACAAATTGTATATTTTTATTAAGTGGCATAACTCTGCTATGAAAAAAACCTATGTGAAAACAATGTTACGAATACTCAATTATTGCAAATGAATATTATAAAATAAACTAAATGAGTATAACCCCTGTCTTTATTTTTAATCTAAATAAAATTCACGAAAATTAAATTCTCGTTTGCTAATTTATCACAATTTAACTTTGCTGTAAAGTCCAATGATTAGTAAAGAACGAAAACAAGGGTACAATTATCATCACAATAATTGAAGTACACTTAGGCGCTTTCGGACAGTTCAGTCACGATTTTCTAAGTACATTGGAATAAATAAAACTGGAAATTAAGGAACAAAAACATTCCTAGGATTTGTCCAAAATATACAAAATAATTAAATCAGGTTAAGTGGAAGACCATTATCTGCACATTTTCATTTAACTTTCCTTGGGAAAAATTGAATTTTCAATACGTCAAGAAAGAAGCATTAAACTAGGAAAACTAAAAATGACATATTGAAAATTACCTATTAGTATGCTACAAAAAGAAAGAAACATAATAGAACCAAATGAGGTACATTATCCCTGTATAACGTTCCTCGGGATAACAAAAAAAGTCATCCTTAACGCCGACTTCAGCCCTCAGTCATTTTTACCCTTATTCTTTTTTGCAAATGCGAACAGTTTTTTCTTCTTCTTCTTGATATCTTCGTCCATCAGTGAGGAATCCGTCGAACAAATGTCGTCTTCGATTGACGCCGACGGCTGCTCTTTTATTGTCGTTTGTCTGAGAGGTTTGGGTTTCACAGGCGCGTCCAACGAAGTATCGGATTGCGAAGACTTCGGCTTGATCGAGTCCAGGACCCCTACGTTAGTATCTTGTGAAAACGATCGGGTCATTTGCGAGGATTTGCTCGTTACAGAGATATTATTGTTGCTAATACTTCGCGGATTGGAAGACAATTTGCTAATTTTAGTGTAACTACTAGAATCTTCAGGCCAAGTTGAGCTGTAGGAAAAAATGTCAAATGCGCCTCGTCTATATGTTGTACTCACATCTCTCCTCCCACCATAAAGTGAACTCCAGGAGTCGGTTTGCTCTCAGAATGAGAATCTTCCTCTTGTCGGCTGGTTTCACTCCCTGAAGAATCGCCCTCTTTCCATGAATGGTGCGCTGTCGACTCTGAGTGGCCTGTACACATACCGCCATCTTACACCGAAATTAGTTACCCAGCATGCATTTTATTAATTACTTGATATTTGGTTCGTCTGTGCTTGAGATCTAATTTTAGATTATTAGAATTTAAGAGTGAAACGGAATCTGCGATTAGTTTTTGTTACAGCAGCACACTAAAGCCTACTTAAGCGATAAAAGACCCTGTGCTTACCTGTCTCGGTGTATAAATAAGTGCATTTAACTCAAGGAAACGGAATAAATAATAATAAAATCAATTTGAATAAATACTCAACAGGCCTTTATATTTTGATTTGAAACCAACTACAGACTAAGTGGTAAATAATCAAAGGAATACAAGCCCCCTAGCATAAAAATAAATTACAATCAAGCGAAAACAGCTAAAATATATAAACTGGTTCAAAAATAAGTACAGACTCATACGATGTCAGGTTAGGTTAGCAAAATTGCTGAAATGGGTAATGCAGAATAAAAAAAAAATGCAAGTGCGCCAGCAAAAGATCCTTGACAACTTTGACAGAAATTTCCTTCGAGTCGGTGCTGAAAATCAGATTTGTTACCCATCGGACGGCCGAAATTTTTTTAACGAACCAAACATTAAGCACGATCAGGTACTCTTCACTTTAGATGTAACAACCTCATGATTATTACAAAAAAAGAAATAAATAAGTAAGAGAGACTGGAAGAGTATTAAGAGTTTATAAGAAAAAGAATCACGAGGTTGTTAACAGCTACTAACCTAAACTAACACGTTTAATAAAACATTATTTACATAATAAACAATCCTACCACTCTAGTTGAGAAAAATACAGGGTTTTTGTTAATAATCGGAATCGTGTGAATCATCATCAAACGAGATATTCTTACCTTGGTGACCATAGAGGGAGGCTGTATCGTCATCCAAATCATCTTGACTGCTGATGCGACCTGAACCAAACAAAATGACGTCTATAGCTTTTATTTTTTTCTAATCGATTTTGTATTATCCTTAAGCAGTAATCTCGACCCAATATCGTATTACCATCAGACCTTACCTCTTATTGGCAGCGCCCGTCCGTTAGTATTACGATACAGGGTGTTTTCCAAAAACTGCAAACCGTTATTGTTGATGATGCTGAATCCACACAACATCTCAATCTGCTTCCATCTATGTACACGCTCTTGCAGTTCTTGTGTAACCTCATTCAAAGCCGTCCTAGCTTCGACTATGCTTCTATCGACTTCATCGATTGATTTTCCGTGAGTTGAGACGAAAGCTCCAACAAGACTCGACCTCTTCTTCCTCAATTTCTCACACTGTTTTAAAAAACATTAATTTGAGTCACAAATCGGGCAAATTTCTTACAGCCTCTCTCGCTTGCTGCAGTTGTTTTTCCGCCGATGCTTTCTTCTTCATGTAGCCTTTATTTTCAATTTCGTGAGTGAGTTGCAGCCACTGTTGGAGTCCCGGAGGCGGCGACCAGCACCTGTCCTTCAGTTCCCCTTCAGCGATTTGCAGTTCGGTCCTCAGCATCTACATCGGAAATTAGAGCAAATTTTGATTTGTCATTGTTGAACTCACCTCGATTTCGGCCTTGAGTTGGTTCACCTCCAAATCGGAACATGGCAATGAATCAAGATCCGTTTTCGAATCTTGTAATTTCTTTTCTAAATTCTGTTTTTCGGTAATCACATTTTCTTGTGCTTGTTTGGCTTCTTCGAGTTCTTTCTGTAAATTTTCTAGTGCTTTTTCCGCATTCTGTAAACTGTCCATGTCACGGTTCATTCGATTCAGGTGGTTTTTGAATTTTTTGTTTTGATGGAAAGCATACCAAACTCCTATTCCACCACCGATGAGAAGGACGATCAAGGTAAGGTCCTTCCAATGCGGTTGGCCGTCTAACAAAATTAAAGAAATGCTCATTTAACAATTCGGACATTCTTTTTCGCGCACATATTCACGTCTGAATCAGGGAAAAATCGAAATTATTAATGCTAGGAATGGTTATATAATTGGCCCATTGTTGTCACGCTTTGGTGGGCCCACGCTAGAAATGGTAAATACGCAATAAATGGACATAGGTGACGTGAATGGGGTAGGTTTATTTTGTTCCACATTTGTTAAAATTTCTTATTTTTATTATTACGTAACACGTTAAAATGTACTGCAAATTGTGATTAATGATTATTAGAATCGCAAAAAATTATAAATAACGTAATTTACTCTCCAATACGTAACAATAATTGCGGTACTACCGAGAATGACAAGAGAAGATTTAGCGTTAACTGAAATGAGCCACCAATCAGAAAGCAGACAATTTTTCAATGTCGTTCCAATGTGGGGTCACATTTTATATAATTTGTGAAATTTGCAAGTTTATTTAATTTCATTAAAACTTTAGGACCAAGGAATTCTACTGTTTCAAACAGTTTATTTAATATAAAATTTGTTTCAGAATTAAGTGTCAAACTTAACAATTACCATCACTTTTCTAAAAAGTAGAAACTCGAATGCCAACCTGTTAGTTTTCTGAAACTGAAAAAATGGCATTTCATAACGATTCAAAAACAGTCTGACTATGAATAATAAGAATGAAAATTGGTTGAAAAAACATACAACCAATTTTTTGCATTGTTCGAGCGGAAGTTGATAATTATGCATCAATGGATGGATCTTTAAATATTTCGTTTATTAGTGAAAAAGTAAACATTTGAATTTTGCTCCTTCAATAATAAACACAGTAGTGTTTTAAACAATTTAATTTTAAACCATTAACACTTCAAACGCCTTATTATCTTTTCTTATTAAATCAAATACTCGATAATGACGTGAAAAAAAACTTGTTTCATTTCAAAAAAATTTTCATTTGATTTTAAAAAGATAATGGAACAAAGTTTACATTTGACTAACATTTTAAATAAATAAATAACGTCTGGATTTTGCAACGCATCAAATAAACACTTGTTTGTTTACAAGTAATAAAAACAAAATTAATTGCTTTCATTTCCATTTGCGTCCCCACAAACGACTTACCCTTTGGGGGGCCAAAAAGAACCACGTCCATGGCCTTGAGGACGATTTTTTGCTTATGTATAGGATCCTTGATTCCGAGATGGTTAAGATAGTTAATATTGTTGGCAGCCAATCTGAAAACCACCATTTAGCCCCAAAAAATTCAACAACAGTTAGTAAACCTGGGTAAGTTAGCCCCAGTGACTTTGTGTGAGATAAAATTAGGAACATATTGGGGTAGATCAACCGAGGAGACGAGCCAATCTGTGGTTTGTTCAACGGTCCAGTTGTGCACTTCCGACTTCAACCAGGCTTCCCACAATTCTTTGACAGAGATGTGCATGTCATCATTGCGATGGAAGGCTTTTTGTCGTCGTTCATAGCCCGAGTCGTATTGCAATTCCTCTCTGAGAAACTATAAAGTGGCGTTTTTAAGGGCACCTTAAGTGTTTGGGGCTTACGTCATCGGATTCCGTGAGGTCTACGTTGCCGTTGGCGTCGTCGTCCAATTTCTGATGAAGGGTTTTGATCGCTTCAAGCCCTAGTCTGTCGTTGGCTGCCATCGTGAGGCAGGCGAAATCGTCAATGCTGCAGGTGTTCATGGAGCCTGGAAGCGCATCCTGAATGTGTGCAATTTGGGGCTTTGGGGTACTTACTGTCACTGAGGAGTAAGTCGTTGGCCGAATAAGTACTCTTGAAGTCTCGAGATTTCATTTTTTCTGTGGCGGCATCTTCGGCGAGGGCAGCACTCCGATAAAAGCTCAAGATTAACCAAAAAACTAATCCCCGGGTACGCATCGTATATAACCTTTAAATTGCACAATATATTAGTTTCGAGTTAAGGCCGCGGTTGTTCCAACGAGTTTTTAGCATAATAATTATTGTTTTGTGTGTTTTTCTTTAGTTTGACATTTCACAGCCGATTTTCGTGGTAAGTTTCAAGGTCGTGTCAGTTTGGTGGAAAAATCTGTCAAACTTTTTAGCGATTATGTCGGGTTTTGCGCGGTGTGAATCGGGGTTACCATATGTTCGTTCGGAAAAGGTCGGCTCACATTCGATAAAGTCGCCTTCACGCGATGACCGCTGACCTTAGCACAATTAACAACAATTTATTTTACTCCGAATTTTGATCTCGATATTAAGCCTTATTAGAACAGATCTGCCTTCAACGATTTTAATTATTGGTTTGTTTTCTTTGGCTCTTGTTTTGTTGCACGTACGCACATCACCGTGAAATTGCAATTACACGGCTTATCTGCTGTATGTAAAGTTTTACATTTGATACTAACGTTTTTTTACCGGTTATGTGAACTTTAGAAGGCCATTACCGAGTCACTCTGCACCGTTTTTCCTTTTTTGAACAGCAAATATTAAATTTAAAATTAAAAAGTAAATACAGCAACACACACATTTTCATTAAGAGCATTAATGACCTTGCAAGATCATCAAGGTCTTAAATCTTGAGTTTCAAGAACTTCTCACATACCTAATTACTGACTTTTCTAATTATAAACAATACTAGAATATGTAGGCAAACAAAATTATTTATTCACAATCACTAGTAATATCAATGCCCATTCCCATTCTTTTGGAGGTCGGGAAATTTGTCATTACCTCCCGTGCTTGGAAAGTACCAAACTCGGTACTAACTAATGAAGTATTGTCAAAGATTACGAGTTATTATCAATGCGATTTTTTATGAATTTAAAGCACTTCCTGAGTTTAACGGAAGCAGGATTGTTTTCTTAATTTAGAAATTAATATTTTCTTGTACTGTTTCCTTTTCGTTATTTACAATATTCTAAATTAACATATCATTACATTTATTTTTCCAAAGATAGATTTAATTTACTCAACTCACTTACCTTCAAAGAAAATTGAAGTTACATTTCCAAGTGCTGCTTTTTTAAACCTTGTGTTTTTACTATTCACTGTTGTTTTATTTATTTCGGAACAAGCTAGCAAACCACGCAATCGTGTTGCACTAAAAATGATAATTTAAAATCAAAGTAACTTACTTTATTGTCAACCGTCAATACAGCGAAGCATTACCATAGCGATTTTACCGGAAGTAAACAAACACTTTATCTTACTGTACAAATAATAGTTATTTACAATCGTGTGCGGTAACTTACATTTTATTACAGTGCGAAATGAATTTGAAGCACGACGCGCAGCCGAGTGCTTTAATAAATGAGCACTGTAAAATGCTTAACGCTCAAGACTTGTATTAAGCTTTTTCGCCGACGTTTAAACAAAAATCATTTTCATTAAGAGCATTAATGACCTTGCAAGATTATCAAGGTCTTAAATCTTGGGTTTCGAGAACTTCTCACATAATTACTGACTTTTCCAATTATAAACAATACTAGAATCTGTAGGCAAACAAAATTATTTATTCACAATCACTAGTAATATCAATGCCCATTCCCATTCTTAGGAGGTCGGGAAATCTGTCATTACCTTCCGTGCTTGGAAAGTATGTACTTAGGTACCTAACTCGGTACCTAACTCATGAAGTATTGTCAAAGATTATTATTAAGTTATTATCAATGCGATTTTTTATGAATTTAAAGCACTTCCTGAGTTTGGCAGAAGTAGGATTGTTATCTTAATTTAGAAATTAATATTTTCTTGTACTGTTTCCTTTTCGTTTTTTACAATATTCAAAATTAACATATCAATACATTTATTTTTTCAAAGATAGATGTAATTTACTCAACTCACTTATTACCTTCAACGAAAATTGAAGTTACATTTCCAAATGTTGTTTTTTTAAACCTTGTGTTTTTACTATTCACTGTTATTGTTTTATTTATTTTGGAACAACCTAATATTAGAGCAAACCACGCGATAGTGTTGCACTAAAAATGATAATTTAAAATCAAAATAATTTACTTTATCGTATTTTTAAAGTATTTATAAATCTTGGTAGGAACAACCGCGAGATTAAAAGTGTTTTTTAGTAGATATAGATATAAGTAGATCACTGAGATATTGCTTAACCAGAACTCAACAACATAAAAGTATTGTGGTTGTAAATGCTGTAATCAAAATCCAATAATAGATCATTTGTATACAAAAAATATATTTGGCAACTGTGTCTCATTCTACATGTTTCTAATACTTGATGGACGGCTTCACAGTTTGAATTTTTCGCAAAAGAATCTGGAAAAAAATTTCATTATAAGTTTATTTTAATATAAAAATGAACCTGATTTTCCCAATCGATTTTCTTCTGATTTTTCTTTCGATTAATTGCCGCACTGGTAGGGTGATATCTATTTGGGAGTGTTACTTTGGGTTTGCTCGTCTGACGACTATATTTTAAGATTTTATTCATCAAGATTGTATTCTGTCTTTCAATTTCACGAATTTGTGACGAAGTGAACGTTTTGTTGGGAAATGTTCCGGCTTTGTGCGAGTCCCTTAGTCGCTGTAAAGTGCTTTGAGACATTTCCTCATATGAATCGTCTTCGTGGGTATCTTCCTCGAAAGTTTCGTTCTCGTAGTCTTTGTCGGAAATGCCGTCATCGTAAATGCTTGAATTCGAGCCACTATTCGAAAGCGCGTCTTGTTTGTTCGACATTTTACTCGTGGATGACTTTCAGTAAGGATAATACTTTATTTAGTTGTGTGATCGATATTAGGGATAACAAAATTATGACATGACACAAAGTTTCTATAGCAACTCTTTATAAATTAACTAAGTTCGATTTGTTTGTGGGTTTGGGAGTGAGAAAAGTCATGTTTCATAAATAATTCTGCATTTAATAAATGATTCGATTACTGAATAGAACAAAATATATTTACATATCAAAACAATATACACAATAATTTATATACACACATAAAATGTTAGTCAATAGTCACGATTATGGTCAATATCTTTAATGCATACTAGTGCCGGCTGCATCTGCAGCCACACAACAATTGCACATAATGTAATTAATAGTAATTAAGACGTATATGAGATACAAAGTATTGCTTTCTTTTTTAGTCACATTAGAAAATATATCACTTATCCACTTTTGGCAGCGAAATGCCCCTTTACTAATCACCTCTCGACAGTTTTTCATCCCAAATAAAAAGTGAAAAATAAAAGAAACGTTGTACATCTAAACTATGACAATGTGGATACAATAATCAAATAATCAAAGAGAGTTCATTTATCATTACAACAGCTGTACCTATTACAATCATTACAGTATATACGTAACTATGGCGAACAACAAAGAAATTAAAAACGAAAACGTGAATAATATTGGCAGTAAGTTACAGATTCTATGTATGCATATGTTTATGGATACCGACAGTACGCTATTCTAATGATTAATGGACCTGTTTTAAATTGCGGCCCAGATCTAATTTTAGATATAGGTAGAGTGGAGACAAGCACCGAGGATAGAATTGTAAAACTTAATAAAACGATATAAATATGTACATCTATGGACTATGTTCTGCTAGATTTATGTTCAATGGATCATTAAATACAGTTCAGTCAATTACTACGATCGATGATTAAATAACGTAAAATCATCATAAGAAACTGCAGCACAAAAATCATTTCGTTACTCATATCTTAGCGAGTCACTATAATTTTTCCATATAAAAAGCTTCTGATATATGTACAGTCCTTAGTGTTGCCTTAACTAGGTAGATCTATGTGCAAGAGTCTTTATAGATATCCGCAAGAGTGGCGACTCGGCTACCCTGTAGGAAACTTGTCATTCGTTATCAAATAGGCCTTTTGATTGCTTGTACACAACACAGTTTCGTAATAACTTGGACAGTTCATGGCTTATTCACTTTACTTTTTATGATTATCAAAATATTATCGCCACGAATTTATTAAAAATAGTAATTTGTTCCTATAAATTAGTTATGTACTTTCTTTTCATTTATTTAAGAACGACTAGGATTTGATTTGATGTTGACTTATGGCACATAAAAATATTTCTGCTGTTGAATTACTTAATATCACCACAGTTTATTTAAATCACGATTCGTGCCGATGCAATCTCCCTCTCCTCGATCCACTCTTCCTCCTCTTTCGCTTCGTATCCCTCTGGAACGCCACGTTCCCAGGATCATCCGCCAGTTGCGGATACTTGTGTATACTATGAATATCCACTCCCTCATACCCATCCACATCCCCATGCGAGATCAACTCTTCCTTCTCCTCCTCGGTCCAGTCCCCGCGGCCCTGGAACCCGGCCGCCACTAACTGCTTCTCCAACTCCCACGCTCTCTCCACGGCCCTCTTATGAGCGTGTCTCAGGATCTTGTGCGTCTCTTGCTCAGGATCGGCGCCATACTTGATTATCACAACGGCGTCAGGATTGTGAAGTCGGAGTTCTTTGATCGTGGTTGCCCCATGATCGGTGATTTCATGCGTCGAAACGTTGAACATCCCGCCCAAACGACGCAATTCCTCTAAATCGTCACGTATTTTAAGCACATTGTCTTTAACGAAATAGAACACATCCTGGTCATGGATGCTGAAGTGGAGGTTGAGGAAGAAGGAGTTGTTAAAGACTGAAGTCACCACGTCTTGAACAACGCCGTTGACGCCTTCGACGACACTAACTAGGGCTCTGGTGCCGGCTCGGGAAATCAAAACGCCCTCTCCGAAGACGGAGCGACGGTAAGCCACCCGGGGAAGGAGGTTCCGTGTTTTTGGCTCCATTTTGAGCAATGGTTTGGGTACGAAACCAAGATCCGTGAATTTTTCATTGACCTGAAATGTCCAATAAATATATCGGTGGAGGATTTATTAGAGGGACTCACCTTTTCGACAATGCATTGCAAGCCGGAGATTACTCCGAAATCAGGGGCTAGTTGAGGTGAAGTTATAGTCGCTTGAGGTCGATAAACCATTCGACTGATGTATTCAGAGCCTAACATGTTTCTCATGTCGTAACCGTAAAGTTTCAACCAGCTGTTTAAATTCGTCATATAATCGATAGTTGTTTTCGAGTTAATCGGGTCGTTATTATTGAAACGGTAAATGAATACATCAGTTGGGGTTGTTAGTTTCGTTGCCAATTGTTCCCATGCTGGAGTCATCCATTGACCTACGACCGGGTCGTATAATCTCTTATTAATATAAACTAGTTTGGTATTGGGATCAAGAATTCCTCCATGGAAGTCCACCGGTAGGTAGAAATCTGGATTCGTGTCTAGTGTGATACTTCCAAAAGGTGTTCTTCGGATTTCTTTAATCAAATTTGCATTAATATCGAACAGACCTAACGGAGACCCATTTTGATCCGTAGCAACGTAAAATCGTTGCTCTGAAATCTCCACTGTTATTAGGACATTCCGAGAGTCGTACAAGAAACGGAAAGTACGACCGGTCTTCGGGAAATGTAAATGTGTAACCAAATCCGGAGTACTCGGATTCGAATAGAGATACTGAGTGACATTGCCCTTATCATCATTCCATGAAATCAAACGGCCTCTGTCATCGTAATAATACCAAGTTTGGAATTTGTCGCGTTCGAAAGCATGAATTAGAAGACCTCTCGAATTATATCTATACTTCTGCTCTCCTCTTCGAACCACAAAACCTCGGTTATCGTAACTATTGAACTCGACATCTCCGTATTGTACAACTCTGTCACCGCTGTCATAACCCAAAGAGATTTTTTCTCGTCCTTTGATCACGCCGATAATATTTCCGTTCTCGTCATAAATGTACTGCCAGTCATTTGTACCCACGACTTGAAGGACATGACCGTCTGTATTGTACGAAATGCGGTCCAAGAATTGATCTCGACCGACTAGAAGTTTCTGAACTTTGATTCTATTCCGAGTGTCATATTCGACTTCGAGTCGGAACACGTCCAGCGATTTTATATTGATAAGAATTGATTTGATGCGGCCGTGCTCGTCATAATCCGTTATTGTAAAGAACTGTTTACTCGTGTCTTGCATGACGGATCTATTGAACGTATTTCGATACACTCGCAAATCGCTTATTCCTTCAAGGATGCCGAGGTTTTGGTTATATTTCACTCTTAGTTGCGGCAACTCTTTGCCGTTAATATCAACATCTATGCCAGATAATCGGGCATTCCCGTCGTATTGGTATTTATAGTGAGCATTATCAAGGCCACTTTTGCTGCTAAATTTGAGCTTCTCGTCTTTGAGAATTCCAGCGTGATATTTAAATTCTTGCTTCAGTTCGAAATTCGGTTCGATGATTTCGATACTTTTGACAAGACTGGAAGTTTCGTGATAGACATATTGAGTGGAACTCATCCCTGCTAGACTTGTCTCAAGTTTGCCTGACGCGTCGTAAACGTAAGATACGCGACCTGATTGATGGGGGTACACTTTGGCCAAAATTTGACCATCATCATTGTAAATTATCTCATACGGGTGACGATTCATTGGTGAAAAGTATTGATATTTGAAGAAACCGAGCGATGTTTGAAGCGAGAATGTATGAATGTGTCCCCTTGGTGTGGTCAAGGACTGTAAAGCTCCGGACTCATCGTATTGTAGGAGATAATCGGAGCCTCTGGGGGTGGTCACTTTGAGCGGCTGTAAAAAATGCGGTTAGATCTGCGGTCGAGTGTGTTCGTGATGACTTACCAAACTACTAAACATGTCTTTGAAGGCGTACACAAGTGACGATCCGTCGCCATATTTAATTTCGAAAAGTCTCCCCGCGCGGTCAAATCCATAAGTTTCGCTCAAATCTCCCCATTTCCAGTTGCTGAGTCTACTGAATCTGTCGTATTCGAGCTCAACTTCGGCGAAAATTCCATTCCTGGGTCCCCACTTGACCGGTCGTGCCGATCGATCGTAAGTCACGTTGAGAAGTTCAACTTTATCGTCCATGAAAACGGAAATCGAGGCGGTGTCCCTGTCGTATTCTAATGTGAGCAAGTTTTCTCCATTTACGCGCAACTTGCGGCCGACTTTAGATACAGTTTTGGGAGTTTTACCCTTATTTTGATTAGGTCTGACGAAGTATCGCCACTCGAATCTGTTGGCGAGGTCGCCCCCGATTTCGGTGCGTTGTTTTGCCGGCACGGGGTAGCTCTCCCCGAGGAGGGGTTCTTTGTCGGCAAGGATGTTGTAAGGCACCGTGTCGGTGGTCACGCTGTGCGACCAGGGAGAGTTGCTAGCGACGCTCCCGTCGGCCAAAAGAATGATTTTGTTGTCGGCGTCGCCAATTTTGGTGGAAACGCTCGAGCCTTTGATCAGCATTGAGATAGGTTTCTTATTGTTTTGACCCACTTTCACGGTGGCTCCTTTCAAACTCAGGTCAAACGACAAGCTTATCACTTTTCCTGTCGGTGTCACGGCTGATGTCAGTCTTCCGAACTCGTCGTAATTGTAAACGTAACTTCTTCCACTGCTGTCTAATTTTGTTTTGAGCAAACCGGTGGGGCCGTGATAGTCAAAAGTGACGTTGTAATTATCAGGAGTGCTCAGTTCGTGCAACATTCGCATTCGAGACATCCTCAGTCTACATTTTTGGCCTTTAGTGTTTTCGATTGAGTTAACTTGACTGGAGTAGTCGCGCAATAAGAAGACTTTATTGCCGGCCGCGTCGGTTACCGTGCTTAATTTCCCATTACTGGTATTAACGTTGTAAGTAAACACATAACTGGTTTCGCCGGTTAAAATATTCTTGGTCGCAATATGTTGGCCGAATCTATTGAAAATATAAATTTCTTGGGTTTCTGGTGAGTAGATTTCGTATTCTCGTGAAATGCTCGCATCGGGGATGCTGGCCATCACAGATCGTATTCTGTAATTGGCTTGATCACCAATGTGTACATGGCCATCAGGACTAACAGTAACTGCTGAAATTGTATTAAATTTAGAGTTTGATGCTAAGTAGTGCTCGGCTTCGAAACAATCGCATCCTCGTTCAAGACAATTACATTTAGACTCGGCTCCAGCATAAGGACCAATTTTACCATCAGTACCGATCACTCGAATACGATTAATTCTCTGAGAATCGCTTTCAGCAATGTATAAATCTCCAGCGGAACTGAAAGCTAAACTTTGCGGCATTACTAGAGTAGCGTGCGTTGCTAATTCGATGTCGTAACCACTGGCAGGAGATGCACAATGCAGAGGACGGCCGGCCACAACTTTAACTCGCCCGTCCAAAGTCAACTGGAGGATCATATGATCATCGATAATGTGCAAAGTGTTATCTAAAGGGTTAATCGCAAGCTCTGTAGGCCACCGCAAGTGAACTTCTTCGAGGGTTAAAGTCCCTTCACATGGCAAAGGTTTCCAATGCGACTTGTGCATATGATTGCCAATGACTGTAGTAACAATCCCATCGCGGTCCACCATACGAATATTAGTACCATCGGCGAAATATAAAACATTGTCATTCGAAACTGCAACTCCTTTCGGGTAGGCCAACTTCGCATCTCTGGCTAAAGCACCATCGCCACAATGGGCCTCGTCTCCTGGTAAACACCGTTCGCCTGACCCAACAACGGTTTCCCAATTGTGGTCAGGGTCACTATAATCTTCAGTGTTTCGAACTCGGATGATTTGGTGGGACTCAGGATCGGAAATGTATAATGTTCCATCGAGGGGACTCAAAGCCATATGGTAGCGATACGATACTCGAGTTGCACTGAAAATAATTTTATTAATTATTTAATAGAAATTGGAAAAAATAACTTTACTTTAGTCGCACAACCGTACGGACTCTCCCATCTGTTAGAATTTTCCTAACCAAGTTGAAATCTCCCACAAAAATTGAGCCATCCGGAGCTGCAGCAAGTGCAACTGGTGCCAAAAGTCGCTGTTTTGAAGCTTGACCTTCGCAGTCATTACAGTCCAAGGGTCGTTGATGCCCATCTCCCATCGTGGTTAAAATTACTCTAGGTTTATGCTTGAGATAAATGTTGGAGCCGTCACCTTTTTGTAAAATTCCTGAAAACGAGACAATGTTTCTCTCGGGGCACATTTTATTATACGGAATATACCTTCATGGAAGTTATATCTGTGATGAATATCTAGATTCCATCCGCCAACTTCTGAAATACTCATATCGTGTCCACTCAATTTTGTCGTTTGGACATCCCAAATAATAGTCTTGCAGTCACTGTATTCATACCCAACTTTGACAATGGCCGTAGTCACTCCATAAACTCTTTGCCGGTAGACATTGAGGCGATTCCACGCATATGTGAACTTGATTACGGGATCCGCTTCGAAAGTTTTCTCGAATAAGATTCCTTCGATGGTAATTCTGAGATGGATCAGATTTAGAGTGAGTGGAATCGTTTCTGGAGTTAATTGCAATTGAATCGTTGATAAGTATCCCGCAGCTCTCGAACTGTGGTATACTAAATTTAGCCCTGTTCCCGGTATGCGCAAACTTTCTTGAACCACTTGAGATTCGGCGAGTATTGCGCTGCGATCCGGACAAGCCCCTTGGAAGCCGTGTTTCCAAGTAGCCAAAACCACGGGTTTCATAGTATCGAAGTCGTGAGCTGAGCACGGCTGTGGAAGCGCAGTGACGGGTTTTTCTTCACCTGTTGTCATGATGACGTTGTCGATGATGACGACTTCATTCCAAGGAACAAAAACAATGTGGGTTTGGGGGCGGAAAGGGGCCCTTCCAAACTGCAAAGTAACAGCACCGCCTCCGTTAACTAGGAGGTCGAACCAGCCGTCGTCTCTTGTGAGAGTGAAGCCTTCCAAAGGAGTGCTAGTGCTAACGCGAACACCCATTAGGCCGGTCCCCATTTGGGTTATAACTCGTCCTCGGACGACAGCAGAACGGCTAAAGGGGAATCTAAGTTAGTTGACGTACACGATTATGCTTTAATAAAAAAATGAAAACAGCAAACAACATGAAATTATAAAAGCTAACCAAAATTTCACGAACACAAGTGGATCTTTTTAATGAAAATAAACCAGGCACAATTACTACAGCTAAAAACTTCACTAAAATAACTAGAGTTGGTTATTACGGCTAAATTAGCCTTACCTTGTGTTGAAGTGATTCCAAAATATACTGAGCAGCAAGAATAAAGAAAGCCAGATCGATTAAAATTTAGATTTAAATTTTTGTTTGGTTTTTAAATAACCGAGATTGATGTACCGGCTTAAAGAAGTTGTTATTAGCATGTTGCATTTTGTCGAATAATTCAGACAGTAAGCACGTAAACATAAAATAAGTGATTTTTAAATTAATTAAATCACATAAAAAGGAAGTGTATGTCACATGGGGCACAACAATGCACTAGAGAAAACTTCTTACATTTAACAAGGGCACATCAAACATGTTATTGAGAAAAACATTGAAAAAACACACCACACTAGCGGTGTATCGAATCGTTTAAAAATCACAATAGATTCGACATACCTCTCGTTGAACGTTTCTTGTCGAGCGTAGTTCTGTAAACTACCTTCATCAATCAAAAATTTCATTCTCTCGAAGAACGACGCGGTGATTGCCGGAGGTTGTTTTCTTAGTAAGATGTCGATGGGTTTAGGTGAAGAGACACATAATTGGCTGCTTGCACACAACCGATTCGAACAACATTCGGGGTCCTCACAATCTACCAACCCATCTAAAGCACAATATAACAGTTATAACTCGTGTAACTTTTTTCAAATCGTTATTACCTTTATCGTTATCGCGGCCGTCGTTACAATTTTGCTCTAACAAAATACTACAATCGGGACCGTCCCACCCGTTATCACAGCGACATTCCCACATGGAATCGGTATTGAAACGACACTGACCATGCGAGGAACAACTGTTGGGGCAACCCTCCATGGTACAATGTTTCCCGTTCCATCCCGTGACGCAAAGACAAGTCCCGTTTTTGCATTGGCCGTGCTCATTGCATCTAGGATCGCACTGCTTGAGATTGCAGAACTCCCCCGACCATCCTGGATCGCACTGGCACGCGTCTGACACGCAATGGCCGTGATTTCCGCAATCCAGATCGCACAGTTCTGGAAACAGCAATTTTGGTTGGTCTTCGCGACTTTATTGAAATTTAATAATAATCTGAATAAATTGACTTTACGATTTTATTATTATAGTAATTTTTATTGTTGATATAATGAACATATTAATAAACATTAAATTTGGCGTTCAACAGCTGTTTTTTCAAACAAAATTTGTATTCTGGTTGTTTACAAAAAAAAATTAAAAGGCGTTATTAATTATTAGTCACTATTGAATATTCACACGCAAAAAATGTTATTTTCAGCGAGTTTTGCATGTGGTTAAAATTCATGTATTTATTTTTTTCTGTTACACATGTGTACAAAAAGAATTACCTCTCGAGCAATCTTCGCCTGACCACCTGGGCTCGCAGGTGCACGTCTGCGTATCCAGATCGAAGGTTCCGTGTCCAGAACAGTCGGGAAGACATTGGAGGGCATCTTTGTCCATTTGGCTGCAGTCCGGTCCCTTCCAACCCTTTTTACAAAGACATGAACCTTCCACGCAGTAGCCGTGACCGGAACATGTGGGATGCGGACAATCGACTAGAGAAAAAAATTGTGGGTTACGGCCTGTAATTACAGTGTCGGTGGTAAAATCGGGCTTACCCTCCTCGCAAAATTTCCCTTTATAACCCCTTATGCAATTGCATTTTCCGTTAGCACAGTGGCCATGGCCATTACAGTCAGGCACTTCGCATTCATCATGCCTTAGTTGACATTCCTTCCCTTTCCAGCCGGGATTGCATTGACATTCACCATTGATGTATTCACCCCGTTGACTGCAGAGGACGGGGCAAACACCTGATAGAGAAATACATTCAGTCATGCTAAGCTCGAGCTGTTAGTGGCAGAAAGATCGCGTTTCAAGCAACAATTTACTTACTCTCGCTGCAATCGTCGCCGCCGAAGCCGGGGTTGCATTGGCAGTGACCCATGAGGCACTCGCCCTTACCGCTGCACCCATTAGGGCAGTTGTGGGTCATATCGTCGGCGACGGCAGCCGTAAAAGTGACTTCTTGAGGGTCACCGTCGTCGTTGTACAAAGACAAGAACCAGTGACCTTGTTCCATGTAATGAGTCACTTCTTTTTTGACTGACGACTGAAAGGGTGCGTCTGTTATTTGAATAATTGGGGAATTTTCAACTCACGTGTGACGCCCTTGTCGTTCGCGCTTTAAATCCGCTAAGAACTTCGAGTATGTGGTACTGGGTGTGTGTGGGTAACGCGTTTCTTCGAGCATAAACGCCTATACTTGCCCCTCGAGGTATATTGTAATCAAATCTGACGTAAGCCGCTTCAGATTGATAGAATTGCATGTTCCAGTAACCGTAAGGCGAGATTTCTTTCGAAAGTCTTTGCCCTAATGATATTTGGGAAAACGTAGTCCCGTCCGGGGGGAATGATTGTGCGGGGAATGTGCGAGCACCTATTAATAGTTAAAATTAAGTGTTCACCAAGACCCTTATTTGAATTTATAGTAAGAGAAGCGGCTGAAGCTAGGTAATGTGAGCACAACACTACAATTCAAACTTTACAAGCAACTACACAGGATGGGTAAAAGTAATAACATGCAAAAAAATGTTAGGGTGTAGTTTCGTTGCGCTTAGCTTGTTAATTCGCTAAGCTTGTAGTCTTTCGACGCTGCCCTACCTTCGAGTATGAGTATTGTAGGTGGTGGAGGTAATTTGGTGGTAACTTCCGGACAAACACTCGAAGTCCATGTTTCGGAAGTTTCGGTCGTGTCTGTTACATCAGACGCAGAAGAAGCTTCACTAGTCGAGAAATCCGAAGAGGAAGTAGTGTTTGAATTGTTCACATCATCTCTGTAGTCGTAATCCGTATTATTAGTATCTGTAAATTCATTTGACGCATCCATACATGATGGGCAAGAACATTCACACGCGCCACCCCAAAGCCCGTCGCGTTTTTCATCGGGCGTTTGGGTGGTTCTTTTATCACCCTCTTCTTTTTGAAAGCTGTGTTTAGTGGCTTGGTTAACGCCATCGTCGGTTGGCACGGACACAGACAGCACGTAAACCGATTGAGTAGCATGAGGATTGTTAGAATCAGGATCGGTGGCTATAGTCACGTTTACTAAAACTCTTTTTGAAGTCGAGCTAGAAGAGGCCACTGGAGGCACTTCGATCACTTGAATTTTTGGGTTCAGAGGTAATTCTTTAGCTTCGAATTGTTTAGTGACACTCTGAGGATTAGTTACATTGTGCAAACCATGCAAGAGCAAAGGATCGTTAAAATTTGACGCCTGCTTTAAGGGGAGATCTGCACCGGGATTCGGTAGCGCGGATAAATTTGATTCAGTCAGTTCTTTCGAGTCGCTATTTTTATCTCGCGGGATCGAGTAATTGGTTTTTGATTTCATTGTTGTTGAAAGAGGTTCTTGATTCAATTTAACAATCTCGACTTCATCTTGCCCGTAAGAAAATATGGGTGTTTTAATGTCATCTGTTGCTTGATCTTCCACTTCTAATTTTGTCTCCTCATCCAAAGTCACATCGGAAAAGAAAGAATCTGGATCGTCTTGTAATTGAGACGTTTCTAGAAAACTATGGGATTCATCTGATCCATCAAATTGATAATTGTCTGTGGTGGTCGGTAAAGTCGTTGTGGTTTTTGAAAAATCGTCAAAATCATTTGTAATTTCTGGGTCTGGAGGTGCTGTGGTTGTAACGTTGTTATTTTTCTGAATTTGCGTATGATTGAGTTCATCTGTTGGACTATTAGTAACAGACGAAAGCGGTGTTCCAGTGACATTTGTGTCATGCAAGGATTCGGGGGTACTAGCATGCTCTCTATCTATATCATGCTCAGTGGTACTCAAACTGGGAAAATCGACAGTGGTCAAGTCTGAGGTATTTGACAACACAAAAGCATGCGGTGGGTTATAGACTTGTCTACGTTTTCGCGAATAGACAAGTGCAAGGAAATTACCTCCAGAAGAAGACGTTTTAGGCCTGGTCGAAGTCGACAGGTTAGTTTCAGAAGTGGCAGTTTTGGATGGTGGCACGAATTGAGTGTTTTCGCCGACGAGTACCGAACAGGGTTTCGTGCTCTGATACGACCAATTCAGTACACTCGAAGCTGGGGATAATAGGATTAGTGGTGTTTTTCATGGGATAGATGCGGACTTACCTGAGATATATGTGAGTGCAGCTGTCAAAACGACCGACAGCATGATGCACACAATAGCCGTACATTTCCACGTGCATTTCGAGGCTATACCTTTTCTGAAATGGAATCGGCTAGCTTGGGGAAAATGACTCGAATTGGGGCGGCGTAAATTATTTCGGACGGGTAGGACAGGTACCTGGGCACCATATGGGATGCCGCATCTGTCCGAATTCTTCATATCTTTCGAAGGGCTACTGCAAGACGAGTTCGACTTGTAGTCAATCGTCGAGTTCTTCGGGTGATCTGCATAGAAAAATAATTTCGATGCGCGATTACTGTGATTGCAACTTGACAGAAAAATGCAAAGGCCGTAATTACCACATGGCACGCTATAATTTCAAACGAATTCCCGCAAAGGCGGTTTTAACTGCGACTTACGTATTCAAGAATGTTTACTTTTATTCACAAGTGGAGTAGTAACACACGAAATGTTTATTATTACTCAATAAGTTTAATGTTAACAGAAACAACATTTTTCGATTGCTTAAATGGCATTGGGTGATTTCACATTCGTCAACAATCTAAATCAACAAATTAGGGCTGATGAGACTATGTCAAAACCGATAATTTTATTTGTGTTGATAAATTCCACGAAGCAACTCCGACACTAAGTTACGGCACTAACTTTTTCACCAAACAATAGAAAAGAACTCACTTAGCGTTCCTGATGGTATGTACACATTTCCGGAAGGCGTCCGCACGAGACAAGAGGGTTCGAAATCTTGAGTAGGATCGGCCGGTGGAGCCGTGGCTAGGCGCCCATTTAACCGATTCATGGTGGGGTTCCGAGGTGGAACATCTGGTGGACGTGGAGCGCCGTCCAGCAGACAACCTGAAAGAAAATTGGTGGCCGTGATTGGTTTTTTGTTTGCAACAGATGACGGAGTGTGCACGCGGACGGTTGCTACAAGACTACCACTGAGTAGTTCAGGTTAAAACTGATCTTTTAAGGGGATAAAGATAACAATGAGTTGTGCTCAAGTACAAGGGGACCCATAAGGCCACTTTAAACATTTGGGACCATTAGTGACGGGCTGGCGTTATTGTCAACTTCTTGAAATTTGACTCGGTTCGGTGAGTCTTGTTGAAAAAGCTTGTTTGCGCTTTGAGCCTGATAGTTGTGTTTTAAACAACAAGGTGGAGTTTATTTAAATTTCAGACGATGTTTCCGCATTTTAAAATTTATAGATAGACATCTGTATTATTGCAAGAGATAGTGTGGTTTTCCTGTCTTGACAACCTCATTACCATGTAAAAGAAAAACGTATTTTCTATGAAGAAACTTTTATAATGCTAACAGCGGGGTATTTTGCATTTTTATCTACTTTACGTGAGTTCACGTTCAATAAATATTTCATCGTTTAAACATTCCCAATAAATATGAAATATGTTTTCACCACATTTAGATCGCGATAAGAAAATTTATAAGGCGTATATGACGCCAGATATTGGAAAACTACCAAAACATCAATTGCTTTGTTTTACCAATATGAACAAACATTGGTAGAACATCTTGTAATTTTAAAGCGAAGCCACCCCGGAAGAAACCGGCAGGTCATTTCCAATTAAAGTTTCATATCTAAGTACGAAACTTTGTAAACTCGAAATGTGGAACAAACTTTTCAACAGTCCTGTTTTTTTGCCTCTCCGACTGGTCTTGCCAAGTTCCTGATTTGAGGAGCAATAATGAGAGACCGAATTTCAATTAAAATCTTTCCCATTCAACACGGCAAACTTTCTAAAGGTACTCTATTAAAATATTCCTCGTCGTTTCTTCAAGGATTCTATTGTTGTTTTAATTAGAGACTTGCATAGGGGATGGAAATCCGAACTAATAAAATTACTATTTCAAATGGCTTGTTCTTTCAAGTTTTCAACTTCCTAGTGCGTCCGCTGCTGGCAAATATACCCAGCCTTCCCATTTTCATCAAACTTTTATTACATGGAATACAAATTGTCACCAAAAATTTAACACTTCATTTTAATTCGCTCAAATCCTATCAACAACACTAACCATTGAAAAGTAAACAAATTATATTCACGTTTTTCTGTTCTGCTTTATTAATATCAACTACAACTGTAATACATGAGCAACAATATACACTAATACCGAAAAAACTGTAAACACTTGAGACGTAATCCCTGAACAAATACCTAACTAGAATGTTTTACATCTGAAATTACATCCAGGTTTTTACATTGTTGTGATCCATCTGCTTGTTACCTATAAAGTTGCTCCTAAAGAAACATAATACTTAACTTTAAACTCAACAACACACCCGTATAATGGAATTTATAAAGCTGTAAGTCGCTGAGAAACTATGCAGTTTTTACAACGACTATAAATGGTCGAAGAAATTTTGAAATAAAATGAGTTGACTAACACGAGGTAGCATTAGTCACCTGTTCTGTTATAATAGCATGGGCTAGAAAGGAAAGGGGCCATAAATGAGATCCATTAGCCATTAACCCGCCTCGAAGAAAGCAAAAAAATGCAAATGCATTTCAGTAGTTTACAGCAATAGATGATCGGATATGCTGATCGTTTATAACCAGTAACTTTTCTGTAACTTTATGAGTCCCTAGAGATCAGTTCGCTTTAGTAGTTTCATCTTGTCTGCATAAAAATAGTTTTGTATCATAATAAATGCATTTTTCATTCAGATCAATTTCAATCCGGGATTACAATTAACTTAATTGTGTTGTTTACGTAAAAAAACGGTAATAATTTAATTTTTGTCGTAACTGAATTCGAGTGTCGAGTTGATAGCGTTGAAATTGAAATAAAAATCGCAAATCTGTGTCTGGCAGCGGTTTTATTATTTGAAACGAATAAAAATGTCGACGATAACTAATAAAACTGACAAAACTTCGAGGTATTTAGAGGGTTTACAAAGAAGAACTGTGTTTATGGATGTCGCATAACTATTACCGTCACAGTGACAACTTTGTCGGGGTCGTTGAGTTCAAGTTTTATTAATAATAATGTTAATGATGTAGAGTGAGTAGTCTACATTTGATAAAAGTGTGGTAAGTGTTGTGCAAGGGTTGGAAAATTGTCGCGAGGTATGGATTAGGGTTCTGGTGTGAGGGGGTGATAGCCAAGATGGCGTCTCCGGATGGCCGGAAAGCGGCAGATAGAAACGGCGGAGGTTCGATAAGAAAACTGATAAGAGTGTGATCGGTTGAGAAATATTGCGGAAACGCGCGGACGTCTGTGTGGGACACACGCAACTCGGGTGTACGCAGTCGCAGGGGTTGAACATTACGATCACAAAGGGCAACTAGTCTGGGGCACGCGACACGATCTTTATTATGGAAATGCACGATGTCACATCGAATGCAACGACCTGGATCTGGGAAACTCGATACGGGGACGTTCTATCACCCCTGGAATTTCGAACTGTCTCAGGTAATCGCCGCAAATAAATAACGCGCCCCACACCCCTCATGAATATTTGAAAAGTTTCTGTATTTTTGCCCGAGCACTTTAATTACACATCTTGAACGTTAGGGAATTTGTAAGGCTTTTGTGTGGCGAAAAGAACTTCCTTTCTTCACACCTTGATTTCACACAGAATGCAAAACACTTTTATTACTTATTCCAGACATGTCGTTTTTGTTATTTCCAGATATTAATCTTTAACACATAATGACTCATCAATCGACTTGTCAACGAAAAATACTGCATTGTTCTGGGCCACACCATCAGCATGTTCCAAGAACTATCAAAATTCGTCATAATTACCAGTCGGAAACAATCACGACATTAATAAAGCAACAAAATGAAAATTCAAGACACGCCACTATCAGCTTGAAAAATTAATGCCTGATTCTCCGACGACGCCTTAATTCCGTCTTACAAATTGTTAAGTCGGACAGCTGTTCGACTAATGTTGCACGCCAAGATGTAGACATCAAATATTTAACCACGTTTAGGAATAAATCCAGGACTTATTCAAACAAAGCATTTTTTCACACAAACCGCCAACAACGGAGAATTATTGACCTGCATTGCCAACCCCCGGCCTTCGAAACCGCTAAACTCACAAAAATGACATCCGCAACCAAGTAATTCAAGCATTCTTGTCCCAACGAAGGGACATGAGGAGAATGCAGACATCAGCAACATGATGTGGCTAGCAATTGCTCACTAAAAGCGTACGTCAACTTCAAATTTTTGAGGACAGATTATTTGGGGGAATTGGAGTAGTACGATAGCGAACAAAAAGCACAAAAGGCATCCACGTGACTAAAAGAATTATAATCAGATTTGCTCAGATCAGTGTCGGTATAATAAAGTTCTCAGGAATACTTTTTCTAATAAATTTTCTCATTAAAAATATGTAAATACGATGCGTACTTTCATGGCTCTTAGTGATGAACTGTTTTAAAAATTTCACTTGTTAACATGAAGTTTAAAGTTAATGCATCATTGAGAAGCTTTATTAAATTATCCTTATTTTTGTTCCGGCTTTAATATTTTTAGCATCGTGAAATATTCATCTGTTTCAAACCTTTATTAGGAATTTAAATTGTCGCAGTTATTTATTAATAGAGAATTTTTATTAATATTTAATATTAAATGAATACTTTAGTGTGGTTGTTGGATTCTGATAAAAAATTGTTTTTATTATTATTAATATCAAATAGATATTGGTAATAATTACATTAATACATAAAAAAAGGAATAAGAGAAATAAAGTGGTTAATTATATTTTGTAGATTCTGGAACTGTTGTGGTAAAATTGGAAGGAAATAAGAAGTAAAAAAATCTCATATTTCAGAAAGTTAATTCAGTAGTAAATTACTCCTTTTATTGAAAGTATTATTTGAACAAGTGCCGATAAAATCATAAGCGGGCACGCATTTTATGCAGTCGCAATCCTTGATGCTTTTTCGTTATTTGAAATCTTGGTCGTGTCGTGAATCGGCGATAACATTGTCGTGGGCATTACCTATTAATTTATAATAACAGCCTTCGGCCCTCGCTGTATAAAATTACAAATACTAATTGAATTTTCTCTAATTGGATGTTATTACAATTTGTCCGTAGTTTAGTCGATATCGTTTTGTGTCTAGTTAAGCTTAAAATAAACACGGAAAACGTCGTGCTTGCAAGTGCATTGCGATCCTTGCATGTACTTCCAATGTATAGGGTGATAATAATAACAGACTGCAATCGGTGCGTGTTTAGACGGTGCATGGCGTTTCATTATTCACAGCCCTATGGTGAACTCACTCGCTTCGAACTCATTGTGAACTTCATTCATCTTGATCAGTTTCCAATCTCGCGTCATCGACTACGCCCCCGATTTTATATACGGGGGCCTTCATTCGTATTATGTGTAGTCACACGTTTTCAACACCGTAAATTATGCACCGAAGAAAGCCCAGCTGGCGTCATAGACGACCACGTGAACCATTGTATTCGGCCATAATTGTTACGTGGTCCAGGGACCACCCGCGGCTTTGATATAACATGATAGACTCGTGGACATAATGATCGGTTTGGTTGTTTAATCGATTAGATACGTCTCAGTATATTAGAAGCAGCGGGTAACCGGGTTGTGGGGGTGCAGCTGTGGCGGCGCCACGATTATTAAAAACACCCGGGGGCTTCCGTATATATACTTCATCTATTTCTATTTTCCTACAAGCCTAGACGAGAGAAATCCATTGAACAATGCAGATTTCGCCAATTATGTATAAATAGCATCGAGACGTGAATAGAACCCTGCGGAACGCACGCAGTAAATAATGATGCGTTTTGAATGGAAGTTTGAGTAGCCTCTCTAAAAAATTCAGATGGTAAACTGTTTTTTATAAGTG